CCCCATCCAGCCTGTCCAGTGGCTGATTTCCCTTTGATCCATATCAACAGTTCTTAAAAGAGCAGAATTCTCAAGGCTTAACTAGTGTTCGGTTTTAAGAAGACTCCAGGGGGTATTTTGATTTAAGATTTAAAGATGGAGCCCAGGGCCATTGGTTTGCGGGTTCATCCGGCCTCTACAGCTCCAGGGAGTCTGGACTCCATGCTAATGTGAAACTCCGCCCTGCACTTTCCCTCTTTGGGTCAGCATTCATCTATAGAGCCTTTGCCCTGCCTTGCTGCTCAGGTCCCCCCCCTTACCTCTCTCCCAAGTACACGCCGATGGCCGTCTTGTTGAGGCCCTCCCCCTTGTAGAGGAACTGGGCGATGTCTTGCACATTGGACGACAGCAGCTTGTGCTCAATGAGATACTGGATGCCCTGGAGGAGGGACACAGAGCCTGTGAGTGCCCCCCACCTCCCAACAGCAGCAGGCCTGGGAGGAGGAAGCAGGGAGCCCCTGCGGTCTGAGCCCTGGGGTCTGGCACTCTAGCACAGCCCGTCCTGGGAAATGGTGTCCCTTGATTATTACAAACTTCTTAGTAAAAATAGTTTTTCGTAAGGTGACGAGTTTCCTGTTACTGGAGGCAAGCAAGGCAGGCCCAGGTTTCTCTACTAAACGGAGGTCATGCTACCTGTTCCCTTTAGCCTGATACTATCTGATGTTGTGCTTAAGGAGCCTATGAGTTTATAAGTTAAGACTCACTGATACAGCATAGCCTCTTCAAACGTGGGCTACTGTTAAAGAGCAGTTTGCTTTCTCACCCATGTGATCGATGCCCAATGTATAAAAATTAGTGGGGGGAACCCCAAAGCAAAGTGAAACAAAAAACCAGCTAAATCTAAAACCGAACACCAAATTCAGCTCCCCTGAGTCACAGCGACCCCTATGGGTCAGGGCAGACCTGCCCTTGTGGGTTTCTGAGACTGTGACTGTACAGGAGTAAGAAGCCCATGGTTTCGAACTGCTGACCTTACCATTTGCAGCTCAGAGTCTAACCATTGCACCACCAGGGCTCCAATAGCTGAAAAATCTGAGGGGGAGGAAATTGCCCAAACCTGACACCCACCCTACCATCCCCCCACCACATTCCCAGGAGAGGCAGCTTCTCCTGTGTGGCCCTGCTGCCCCTTTGCTCATCTGTTTTAAAGAGAGTCACCCTGAGCCCCTCCTCTCCCCTCCCCGACACCGGGCACTGGGTGCCGACCTAACTTCAGGAGCTTGAGAGAGGGCGGTCCTCGTCCCCCTGAGAGAGCGGGGAGCAGCATGGAGGGCCTGGGGGTTGTGGGTGGTGCTGTAGGGTCTGTGACCCTGGGAGGGGGAGTGTGTGGGAGTGTGGACCATGAAGGGCAGAGGGCAGGCCCACCTTCGAAC